ATTCTGGAAATTAGCATGAGTACATAACTCTAACTAGTGCTAATTTAGAGCAATGGCATTATGAACCATTCATCAGCCTTTTGCCTTTTTGAGCTGTTTTGATGACTTTGTCCTTGAGCTATGTTCTAAAACTTAAAATAGTTATATGTTTTACAGCAAACAATATCTATATATTTAAGTATAACTTGCGTATTCAACTTATTCAGCAATGAAACTTATTGGTGATGGAATGAGGTATGCCTTCAGAATTGTTCAAAATGTTACCAAGCGTCCAAACCTAAAGAGAAAAAGAATAGTACTCACAAATGCTGTGATCTTTCCTTTTTGCTTACTTTTTTCCCTCTGCAATAATGGCAGTTTTATTTTGTATTATTATTGTTTGTTTTTGCCTCTGCTATGCTCTCTTTGTATTTCCTTCATAGCATGCATTAAAATCCAGGAATAATGTTTTCGCTCTCCGAAAATCAAGAAATGCCAATTGAAAGAATAATTACATAGTATTTTACCCCCAAAGAGATAAACAAAAGTGAAAAAGACAGAGAATATCCAGCACTGGTGATATGATGGAAAATGGGTCCTTTCATACTTTTGTGGATATGAATGTTGATTTTTGTTGCTGTTTAGAGGAGAATTTGATGACATAATTCAAAGCCTTAAGATTGGCAAAAAATATGCTTATGCTGCGACTCAGCAACTGTACATCTAAGATTTATCCTAGGGAAATAATTAAATGAATACACATAACTGTATGCACAGAATATTTAATGGTACGTTACTTATACTGTAAAAAAAAAAAAAAAAGAAAGAAAGAAAACTCCTGAAATATCCTCATGAAGCTCACTTTTAGTGTGGGTAGAGACGAATCACCAGGTACCAAGCCAAATTTCAGTGTGGCTGTGCACAATATACTGTGTGAGAACACCAGGGAGCCTCCGACTGCCTAGAGTGGAAGAGGTTATGGTGGTGGTGGGAGACAGGAAAGGCTTTTCAAAGGAGCTGACACCTAAGCTACATGGTAACAGATTTGCTGGGTTACGCTGATTAGCCTTTCTTCCAGGTCTACCAAGTAAGGCAAGCTTTTGTAACCCCAAGAATGAGAAAAACCAAAACCAAATCCATTGCCAGCAAGTCAATTCCAATTCATAGTGACCCTTTAGGACAAAGTAGAACTGCCCCATAGGGTTTCCAAGGAGCGGCTGGTGGATTTAAACTGCTGACCTTCTGGTTAGCAGCCGAACTCTTACCCACTGTGCCACCAGGGCTCCCCAAGAATGAACACTACTCCCAAATCTAGAGCCAGCAGAAAACTAACAAAAGCCAGCCCAACCCCATAATGAATTAGTTGCAGCCTATCTTGTAATGAAATTAGAACATACTTTTAAGTGCCGATGACTGCTTCAGTTTGTCTAGCAGCCACTCTAAATTTTAATTGATAAAAGATATGCCATAATTTTGCAAAAAATTTTTAAAGCTAATAAAAACTGCAAAATGAAAGGAATGACTTGAATGAAACGTAGAAAATGGAGAGTAACACATATCAGTGTGTACTATTTCCAGTCCAGGAAAGAGGTTACTGATTCTAACCCTAAAGTAGAAAAAGACCAGTTACAAATACAAGCTTGATTGATCAAAAACATCCTCAAAGAGCACCCTGCTTCCTTTGCTCTAATTCTAACGTGTAATTTGGCCTCCAGAGTATATTAACCAACTATTAAGGGGAATAGTCCAAATAACACTACTCATTATAAAATCATACAGTGGCATTTGGCTTTAAATCTCTGACTCTTCTGAGTTTGGTTATTGCAACTCAGTTCTTGAAAAAAGTCATCCCCCCTCATTGAACTAGGAAATTGAGTTTTGGAGTCTACAACACTGAGGCCCAGACCCTGGACCACAGTGAGGTCAGCCCAGCACGACACAGCCAGCTGGCCTCATGGATCTTTACTGCAGGAGAAGACAGGTGCTGGGCCATTCTCAGCAGCCATCTACTCAGGATTCAGCCTTCCCTTTGCCCTCTCATCTAGTCACAATGAGATCAGGGCTTAAGAAGAAGGAATTGGATGTTAGTTTTGTTTTGGAGCTTTTTCAGGACAGATGCCCAGCAGAAGTGTTCTCAATGGAGAGTGAGAGTTTCCCTCGCAGAAGCCACCGTTTAGTGAACTGACTGCAGGGAAGCAGCTGAGTGGCCAAGCCCTGGAGACAATCTGCTTGAGCCTTTAGTTCTGGCTTTTGGTAGGCTAGTGAATTAGCAAATACTAGAAATATGCAGTGAATCATGTGAAGAGACAACTACCTTCTATTCACTACCCTTTGATAGCCGATTCGCTGCATCTGTCATTTAACATGTGATTCCTAACAGAGTCTAAGGACAGTGTTGTTTTTTAGTTTTTCCTGTAGATGCACAATAATATCACACTTTAAAAATTACTAATTTCTTAATATCATCTAATACTAATCCATACTCAAACTCCCCTACTTGTTCTAAGAATCTCCTTTACACCTGTTTGTCCAATCCAGGACATTACATTGCATCAAATTGTTATATCCTTAAGCTCTTTTTAATATAGAACAGTCCCTTATTTTCATGACACTGACTTTTTAAGAAATTTGACCAACTAATTCATGTTGTTGTTGTTGTTAGGTGCTGTCGAGCTGATTCCGATTCATAGTGGCCCTATAGGACAGAGTAGAACTGCCCTGTAGGGTATCCTAGGCTGTAATCTTTATGGAAGCAAATTGCCAGGTCTTTCTCCTGCAGAGCTGCTGGGTGGGTGTAAACTGCAAACCTTTCAGTTAGCAGCAGAGTGCTTAACTGTTTCGCCACCAGGGCTCCTAACTAATCCACAGAATAGCTCATTTTCTGTATTTGTCTGCTTGCTTCCTTGTGTTCTTATTCAGCTTGTCTCTCTTTTCCCTGTGTTTTGTGTCAACTGTTAACTTAGATCTAAAGCTTTGATCCAATTCAATTAAATATTTTTGATAAAATGAAAAAAAAACCTGGATGGGTTGAATACTTCATGTCACCTCATATCCATAAGACAATATTATCTCAGCATTATCCATTAAACCCACTGCCGTTGAGTCGATTCCGATTCATATCTCAGCATTAGTGATGCTAAAATTGAGCACTGGATTAAGATGGTGACACTCAGATTCCTTCAATGTACGGTTACATTGTTCCCCTGTGACCTGAACGAAGGAATCTGGTACATTGGGACTGTATGAATATCTTGTTCCCCAGCAACTATTTGTCTGATGGTTTTGTCAGCAATTGACATCCTTGCCTGAATCAATAATTTCCCTTTGGAGTCTCTTTTCTGTAGCTGGCAAGTCTTATGCTGCACTGCTTACTAGTTAGGTTGTAAGCAAGTCATTAGCTTCCTGATCCTTATTTTCCTTATCTGTAAAATAGGTATAAAAATAGAACCAACCCACGTGGTTGTTGGAAGTATTACACCAGATAACTGTGTCTCCATGCTTTGTCGGTGCCTGGTGTAAGCACTGGCTGTTTGTTATTATTGCGCTTTTCCTTATTTTGGTGGTATGGATTGTATAACATTATGCTCTCGCTGCCAGTCTCATGTCTTTGAAGCAGATGACAGTATATTTGATGAAATTGCTGCAAAGGAGTTGAGGCAGTTAGACTTTTGAAGAATATTGACTAAGGACTGCTTGGATCAGTGTTTCTTGAGGTGTATTCTAAGAACCAGTAGTCCGCCAAGATGCTGTATGAGAGAATAAAGTCTGGGAAATGCACCCTATTCTTTTCTGCTTTTGAAGTCTCATAGTACGTATTATTAAAGATTCTGAAAAGTCTCTCAGTAAAGAAACCTAATTAACTTTGTTTAATCAAGTACTTTTTAATCTATTTGTTCGTGGACACACATCCGTTTTGTTAATCTGAGTAACACATAAACACATTATTTGAGCTGGTTTAGAGTCTTTCTCTGTGAATGAGGAGGGAGTCAAAGTGATGAGCCTACACCTCCCTCCCTCTGCTGGGGAGAGTTAGGGGTATCTGCGCTGGCCTTTGATCCTGAAGAGCTGTACAAACTAGAGGAATTCTCCAGATGTTCATTTATTTATTGGGGCAGAAAGGCAGAAATTGGGGATCCAGCAGTAGTTCAACAGCCAAACTCTCTTCCCTAGATTTTCTCGAAAGCTCACCAGGACTCCTAGAGGACCTCAGAATCCACCCGCCCTATAGGTGTCACACAGCCACTGGGACTTGTCTAGGCTGCACAGGGGTGAGTCCCTTAGAAGGCATCATGGTTCAGAGGAAAAGCAGAGGATTTAGGGCCCAGGCAAGCATGGGTCAGTACCCTAACCCTACCACATATATGCCCTGAAACCAGGACAAATCCCTTAATCTCTCAGGGCCTCAGTTTCTTCGGTCATATAATAGGGACAATTAAATAACCTAGCTCACATGGTTGTGAAGTTCTCATTAAATATTTAAAATTATTTAAAAATATATGAAGTGCTGTACAAATGCTAATTAATTTCATTCTAATATTAAGGACATTTTTTCTGCTCTACATGGCCCTATATTTTGGAGATTCACTAGTCATTCTTTTATTCATTCAACTTGTCTAGTAATTATTGAGCACCTATTCTGTACCAGGCACTGAGTTAGGTACTGACAGAGAATAAGAAATAGAGCAGGTCCAGTATCTGCTTTTGTGGAGCTTACATTCCATTGTGGCAGGCATATGATAAACAAATATACACACAAATAAATATATAATGTTAGTCCCCTGCCCCCAGGTACTGATGTGATATTTTAAAAATAAATATATAGCCTATAATCTACCATAAACAGAGGCATTTTGAAGGTACTCTCTATGAATTATGTATATATATTGAAATGAATTTGTCAGATTAAATAAAGAACAAGATTATTAATGTAGAACTAGAAAAGACCTTATAAATAGTAATTTATCTCAATCCTCTGATTTTATGGATAAGGAAAACTAGAACTCAGACACTGTAGAAATTTACCCAAAGTCATGTTTGTTTTTTGTGCTTAGGATGTGAAGGTAGCAGCTAGAACCCAGATTTCCTGCCCCCTAGTCAATGCTTCCACTCTGCCAAGTTCCATCTGAAAGGCTGGCTCCAATTTTAGCAACGTCCTATAATTATCACACTTTTACACAATGTGTTCCAGTTACTAGAAATTAGGGACCCAGCAGAATTGTTTTTTCCAAACGTAGTTCCATGAAACATTAATATTCTAATAAATGTTAATAAGTTGTCACTTTTTAAAAAGGTTTTTGATTAAATTAGTTTAGGAAACCCTAGAGGGTGCTCCCCTCACCTTGCTGTTGCTGCTGTTAGCTGCCAATCAATTAGGCCCCTGACTTACAGTGAGCCCATGCACAACAGAACAAAACGTTGTCTGGTTCTGCTCCATCCCCATGATCAGTGTGATCCATAGGGTTTTCATCGACTGATTTTTGCAATTTTAGATCGCCAGGCCTTTCTTCCTAGTTTGGAAGCTCTGCTGAAACCTGTTTAGTATCACAGCAGCAGCCTGCCATCTTACAGGTCTATAAATGCATATTGTGATTGTAAAACAAAATTCCTGCAGTCAAAAAACCTCTTCAACTATGTATAACCTAGCATTTTCCAAACTTATATGACTACAGAATCCATTTTAAATTATTTAACAATTAATGTAACAAATGTGTTGTGTGAGTAGTGAAGCCTTAACATCAGTTGGGTTGACTTCTGGCATAGTCTGTGAAAGCCCAGTAATGCTCACTAAACCACATTTGATCACACAGCTTTAAAAGGGGCAGTGCCTTGGGTCTTAGGGTCTCAGGCTGACTTTGGATATGCTGTAACATGCAGGAGGAACACCTGTTATTGTTTACCGCCATGTGAATCGACTCACAGTGCCCCTATAGGACAGAGTACATCTGCCCCATAGGGTTTTCTAGGCTGTAAATTTTTATGGGAGCAGATCACCAGGTCTTTTCTCTCACGGAGCCCAGCGCTTTAGCCAGAAATAGCTAGTAGGATGCATTTCTTTTAGTTCACCTTATCCTTTTAACTGGAGGAGCGCTGGTGGCACAGTGGTTAAGCACTTGGCTGCTAATGAAAAGATCAGCAGTTTGAGCCCACCACCCACTTCACAGGAGAAAGAGGTGGTAGCTTGCTTCCATAAAGATTTACAGCCTTGGAAACCATATGGGACAGTTTACTCTGTCCGATAGGGTCACTGTGAGTCTGAATCGACTCGACAACGAGTTTGGTTTTTTTGGTTTTTTAAATCCTTTTAACCAAGGAAAGGAACAGCACCTAGGGAAAGTAACAGTGTAAGTTTAATTAAAGAGTACATTCTGATACATCTCTGGAGGAAAGCAATCCTCTTTAATTTTTTTTTTTTTAATGGTCATTTTCAAACCAAGCCTTTTAAAACTTTTTATTTTCCTTTTTAGGTATTTGCAAGCTCAGAGTTCTCCAACAGAGTGTGATGTCTTCGCAAGACAGGCAAATAAGGTACCTAGATATCTTAATTCCAAAGTAACTGCGTTCCCTTACTTCAGACCTGTTGGAGTCCATGGACGCGAAACCTGTCTGTGGCTGCTTGGTCAGGCCATCCAGACATGAAACTGTTAGTGATATTTTGAAGTTTTTGAGACAAAAGCCCAGCTTGCTAAAGAACTTTGGTTCAGTAGAGAGACAGGGAGGTACAGTGCACAGAGAATCAAAAGCCTGAATATTTGCTGCTGAGAATAAATGCTAGCAGCTCCCTGAGGTGATTTGTCTGTGCACTCCACTCTCTACAGATGTTAGAGCCTCTTTCTGAGTAAGGACCCGAGGTTCTTTGGTAGCACTTTGATATCCTGCTCGAATTCAATATGTGAAATGGAGGCGTCTCTCTGTGACTTGGAGCCCACAGCAGGCTTTGAAGTCTGATCCAATTTTTGCTGCCTACTATTTGATGTTGAAAGGATGAAATGAAGAAAATGTACAGTTTTTGCCAGTAACTCTGCTGAGCATATGTAAGATTAAAAAAACAAAATCCTTTGGATGATGTACTTAGAAATGTTAAGTAGATTAATACCTTCCTATAGGTTTTCTTTCTTAAAGATCAAACTTACGTATAGGAGAAAATCGGCACATGGATGTTTTTATATTCTGGCTATAATTAATTTAAGAGGAGGTTAGGTTGAGGTGTTCATAGGAAAAAATAAATGAATGAAGCAAAAGATGTGGAGACTTTGCTACTGATTGCCCCAAGGAGAGAATCTGTCCTTAATTCTAATACAAGGCAGCCGCAACTCACAACGTGAATCCAATATACAAACTTAGCGCGTACCCCTAAAATTAGGGTTAAGGGTCTTTGTCCTCAGTTAAATGGAAGCTATGTCCTTAAGCCTGCTTCATCAGGGGATAAAAAATACCTCTTCTCTTACGGCGGGGTCTTTCTGAAGCACTCAGTTTCTGGGACTGATTCGGTGTCATCTCGGACATGCTACATTGCTCCAGATCGCCAAGGCCAGAGTCCCTGGGGAGCCTCTCCAAAACCTGGTAAGGAGAACATTTTGAATTGCATGATGCTTCTACCACTTGCATGTTTGTGTACTTTTTAATGAGTTGTTTTGGCAGGGCTATCTGGAAAGCAGGACTTAATCAGATAGTAATATGACCTAGTGTTAGCAAAAAGCTCAGATTTGGGAAGCCATAGGTCTGGAAGCAAAACTTGTCTTAAAGGCACAGTTTACTGCCTACCCATGCCTTCTAAGTTTACTTTTCTGAGGGAGGAAAATGAATATCAAAGGCCATGTTTCTCCCTTCATTTGTAAGAATCTCAAATTAGAAAATTGTTTCAAAACTTCATTTTGTAAAATAAAAGATAAACAGCTAATAAACACGACCTTGTTCATGCTGCTCCCTCTGCTACAAACATCCTTCCTCCCTGTTCACTCATCAGAATCCTCCCCATTCTACAAGGTCCACAATGACTCCCTCCTCGGTGCTCTTAACTTTTCTTATAATACTTATTATCATAAGTATTATTCGGAATCAGAATCTAGGAGTTGGTAAAGAATATTCATTTAGAGAGCAATTCTGCCCTAGGCTGTTAGCAACATGGTCCTTCTTTCATCAAGAATACAACCATATTGCTACACTCCTTTGGGAAATAGCCAATTCTGACCACTTTTCTACATTCTTTGCTACAGAATATGGTAAAAGTCAGTGTTCAGGCTTGTGTGTGGCTATAATCAGTACTTCTGGAAGATTAAAAAAAAAAATTATTGGAAGAAATATTTATGAACCAGAAGATACTCAGGACAATGTGGGCCATTCCAAGGAAAGGAATCTTTTGAACTTAAAATACTAATGTTAAAATTAATGTCAACATCATTTATTTTTCTGAAATATGCAGTTTCTCAGGTCTCCCCAAATTTCTCCTTAGCCTTTTTTTCAGTGACAAAGTAGTACAATATGGAGTGGAAAATACTTAATAAATGTGTTATGACTTTCATTCTATATGGAACTTAAACTCTTGGAGGGAGACAAGAGAGGATGAGTCCATTAAAGCAGAACCTTTTAAATGAATATGTAGTAAATGATAAACCTGTCAAAGGGAATATTTTCCCTATGGATAGTATTCAGGAAAAAGGCCACAAGATGGGGCTAGGAGTAGTGCAAGGAAGAAAGGAATATAGAAAAAGATAGTGTGATGGAGCAGAATCCATTATACAAGATTTTGGTTGGCATTCTTCTCTATCCACATAGACAATCTCTGCCTTCTAATTGGGGTGTTTAGACTATTTACATTTAATGTGATTACTGTTATGTTTTAAAATTATTTCTATAATCTTAGAACAAAAAATAGATGTCTATTTGTGCCCCCCAAATAGATATAGCAAACCAGTGGAACAAATTAAAATAATCCAATCTGTTTTGTTGTTGTTGTGGGCTGTGGGAGAAGGAAAGAATGTATAGGCAGGAAAAAACATTTTGTAAATCAAATTCCCCTAGACCTTAGAAAATCACAAAGATAAATTGAAGAACAAAAGTTGTCCATTTTTATTTACTTTATGTTTTCAAGGTTATTAGTTGCAGAAACAAGAGTATATTTTGTAAGAGATGTTTTAGCAAGTTATACCTTTGTGTATAATTCTTTGCCTTAAGTGATCCACAGTTTCAACCTATATTTTTGTAGAAGGCCCAATGAGAATATTGTGACCTTTTCAGTTTAAAAACAAAAACACTAACATACTAACAAGTTTGCCTTCCAACTTGCAGTGAGGGCTAACTTCATTGTTCTAAAGAGGGGTCTGCAGGGGTGGAGTGTGGCAGGGAATAAATCTCAATCAGGCAGCTCTGCTAGGGCAATCATGCAAAGAAGTGTGTAAATCCTGGGTTTGGATGAGGTCTGTCTTAAGCCCCTTAGCCAAAGTTCCTAAGATGTGCCCCTAACTGGCTGGTGTGAGCCTGACTCATTCCTCATTCACCAGAGGAAAGCACTACATACCCAGTGAGTGCATAACATAAATTACTTTGACCATCGATCCAAGCAGTTAAATTATTTACTTGGACTGAAAGGAGCATATACAGACCTGGTCTGATTTTACTACATTAAAGAAATATGTATTATTTGAGCATTTGTTCTTTTATTTATTCATTCATTCATTTATTCAACAAATAATTATCACCTACTAAATGCTGGAATTCAGACTCTTTTGAAGGACTAGTTTTTGTTGTTTAATTTCTAATTTGCTTAGTCTGGTAAGTTTGTAAAATACAATAAAAGTGAATTCTGAGAAAAACAATCATGCACTTGGATGTTGTGTCAATGTCAAATTGATCTAAAAGTTTCTGAACACTTTCTTTACTAATCTTGTGGACCAGTAACGAGTCAGTCCGCAGATCACACTTCAGTGAACAAAATCTAAAAAATTCCTGTCCTCAGGATGCTACATTCTAGCAGAGAGAGACAGACAATAAACAGGAAGCATAATAAATAAATCAATTGTGTCAGATGTTGGAAGGACTAGGTATTTTGAGGGAGAAAATAGATTAAGGTAAATTAGGAGTCACCAGAGCGTGGGAGGTAGGGGTAAGGGGATGGTTGTACTTTTAAATAGGGTGGTTAGGGTGGGCTTAATTGAGAAGGCAAGGTTTGAGTAAAGACTTGAAGGAAGTGAGCTGCTTAGCCATGTGGATATCTAAGAGAAGAACATTCCACGCAGAGGGCCATGGTAAAGGCCCTGAAGAAAGAGCATGCATGGAATACTAGAGGAACAGAAAGAAGCTCATCTTCTAGTATTATTATAGGATTACTAACTCATCCCAGTTTGCCGGATACTGTCTTAGATTTAGCACTAAAAGTCCCGTGTCCCAGAAAACCCTTCAGTTCTAGCAAATTGAGATGGTTGGTCACCCTACGTATTAAGAGTTCGAAGAATAAAATACAGCCCCAAGATTCTTTTCTGATAGCTGTGTGACTGGAGCTTAGAGAGCAAAGAAGAGAAAGGTTGTTAGTTTTGATTCGGTCAGTTCTGACTCATGGTGACCCCACGTATGCATGGGATTTTCAAGACCATGACCTTTTGGAAGCAGATTGCCAGGCCTTTCTTCTGAGGCACCTCTGGTTGGGTTCAAACTGCTAGACAGCCTTTCAGCTAGTAGCCAAGTGCTTAACCATTTGCCCCACACAGGGACTATAGGAGAGAGTTAGGAGATGAGAAGCCAGATCATGCAGCATTAGTACTTTTCAAATTCAGTGCCATAACAAATACCCTAGGGATTTAGTTAAAATGAAGATTCTGATTCAGCAGGTCTGGGCGGGCCCTGAGATGCTGAAATCTAATGAGCTGCCCTGATGTTGCTGGTCTGTGTTCCATACCTTGAGTAGGGAGTGTGTCGTCTTAGTGAAATGGGAAGCCACTGAGTGTTTTCAGCAGAGGAGTGACATGATATGAGTTATATTTTTAAATGATCACTCCAGTTGTTGGGTTAAGGATAGAGTAGAGACATCATCAAAGAATGAGGTATTCTGTGTGAGCAATTTCCAGACAGCTAAAACTTTCTAAAACACACAATTCCCTTTCATATTGAGTGTACTGAACATAATTCTTATCCTTAATGTCTTAGGATATGATTATTAGCAGCAATCATCACACTGGTCTATAATACAGAGAGATCAAGAGAGACCTTTGTGAAATGGGGCCACCTACCCTTGCATTCCATGACCCCAGACCACTATGATTTTTAGTTAATGTGCCTGATTATTTTATTGTTCTTTATTTTCTCTCAACACAAAGCTGATGCTTCTTGCTATTGTTAGTGTGTTCACTTTTTGTAGCATACTTTCCTTCCCCTTCTGTCTTTTTTCTATTTGCTATGGTCTAGAAAACAGATTTTAAACATTTTTCTGCAGTAAGAGAAATGGGTGCTGAGTGCAAGATCTGAGGAAATCTCATACAAAAAAAAAAAAAAGGAAAGGGAACCTAGCACGTGTGGGGTACTAACTTTAGGCACCAAGCTAGGTGCTTTACCTGTATTTTCTTAGCATCAAATACCAAATACACGGCTTTAATTTAGCCTCATAAACTATGCTTGTTCAAGGGCCTTCAGTACCTGCTCCCAAGTTTTCTGTTATGTTACCAATAACCTGAGTGCCAGATACACAGCCTCAAGTAGTTCTGCACTTGATTATCTTCTAGTCTATAGATAGTGGAAAGTAATAATATTTTCTTTTTGGAGGTCAAAAAGTTATTGTACTTGCTAAGAGTAGCTGTAACTACATGGTGTCTTAAAGATGGAGCCCAGTAAAGTTGTAGTGTGGAGATGATCGTGCTAAGGATCAAGCGGTATGGTGCTGGCCTCCCAAGGGAGTGCTGGTTGGCAATACCCAGTGTCAGGGTGTGTTAGAGGGCTACCAGGGAACATCTGGTGTTGGCTTTTAGTGATCTGATTTCAGATCGTACATGACCTGTCCACCTGTGACTGCTAAGCAAATCGCACCCACTCTCCTTTACCCAGCTACTTCTTTAATTCTGTATACTTCATTATTTCCCTTTATTTTTCTTGTTGCTCGTTACTAAAGTTTGTTGAACTTGGCAGCAGTTAAGCTATCCGAAAGCAAACTGGGGGCTGTGTTTTATCCTTAGAACTCTGAATACTTTGGATGATGAACTATCTCAATTCCCCTGAGAGTGAACGATTTTCTGGGACGTGAGACTTCCAGCGCTAAACCCAGGACAGTGTTGGGATGAGTTGGTCACCCTCTAATAATACTGAAGTTGGGCTCAATTTGGTCAAGAACTATCTTTTTTAGATGAGATTGCTATAACAGGTAAGACAAAGCCTTAGATCCGTGCTACAGAATTGCCTCACACTGGCTGACTGTGTTTGGAAGGGGTTGCAAGCAGCTTGCCAAACAGCAACCACCGTGATCATCAAGGGCTCAGATGTCTTCCATTTGACAGGGAGAGCATGTTCCTGCAATGGAGCCTCAAAGGCCACATAAGCTCTCTTGGGAAAGCACATGGAAACCAGACTTTGAACGGAGGGAA